CAACCATTCCTGAGTTGCGCTCGCTTAAAGTTCGAAGTTTTGGAAAATTTTCGCATTTTTGCTTCTGTTGCGTTAAAGCGTGAAAATTTAGAAAAAACCCAATGGGAAAATATCAATTTTGAAATCTTTCTCTGAAAGGTTATTAAGGTTGAAACGATATTTTCAAGCATTTCTGAGTACCGCTCTTGGAAACTTCGTCGGTTCCTTAAAAGTTCACATTTTTGCCTTTTCAGTTTCAAATCTTATTAATTTACGATGAAAATCAACAGAAAAATACCAATTTTTAAGGTACTGGACCTGAAATATTATTACGACTAAAGCGATATTTACAACCATTCCTGAGTTGCGCTCGCTTAAAGTTCGAAGTTTTGGAAAACTTTCACATTTTTGCTTCTGTCGTGTTAAAGCGTGAAAATTTCGAAAAAACCTAATAGGAAAATATCAGTTTTTAAATCTTTATCTCAAAGATTATTAAGGTTGAAACGATTTTTTCAGCCGTTCCTGAGTTACCGCTCTTGAAAACTTTACCGATACCTCAAAAGTTAGTTAAAGGTTACGATTTTCTGGGCAAACATCAATAGACAAATTAGAGTTTCAAATATGCCCTACCTGAAAGGTTCTTTTCAACTGACGCGAAATTTTCAACCGTTTCGGACTTACGCTCATTTGAACTTCCCATATATTAAATTTTACATTTTTTCCTCTACTGTTTTAAATCTTATGAATTTATAGTCACCCTCACACTGAGAAGTTACAGTTTTTGACAAAACTACAGGGTGAATCAATTCAAACGCGGATGAAACCGCCTAATTTACACACGAAAGCAATGGCTCAATGATAATCAGTTTCATGTTACAGAAAACTTAACTCAATTGGAAGAATTCGAAAAAGCTCAGAAGCACGAAGATTTGGTTGAAGAAACCGTCGCGGTGGGCATGCTGTTCGCCTCGAAGGCATTCGTGCAGTTATTGGCTAATCCATTCGTTGGACCATTAACGCACAAGTGAGTTAATGCTATTAATTTCCTAGGCTTTTCACTTGCGCACCCGTTTTGAATCACCCTCATCACCCTACAGTTGTTGCCAAATTACAATGAAAATTCCTGAGTTTTCCGTCAAATCGGACCGGGTGATTCAAAATTGGCGTACTTGTCGTACACTTTGAGAATGCGTTACTTCTGTAAGAAATCAGCTTCCGAAGATGCTGCTTGAACGAAATTTTCAATATTACTGTCTAATTTCATGTGATTTGTTGCAGAATTGGCTACAGCGTCCCCATGTTTGCCGGTTTCATCATTATGTTCCTATCGACGATCAGTAAGTACTCATAGTAGGCCAATGGGGAAGTTTCTGATACGTTTAAAAGGGGCAAAAATGAAAATGGCAGTGGATGAACACTAGCACGGCACTGAAGTCGACGAGTGGCAGCATCTAAAAAACGAGCAGAGAAATGGATGCTGCTCGATTTGATTACTTGGCTGTGTAAGGGAGCACTTTGTGACAAGACCGTGTCCTAAGTGGCCCTAATTGAATCATGCCCGAACGAAGCGCAAATTAGAACGACGTCGATACTAATGGAAATCTCACGGACATACTTGCACGTTAATTAATTAATAATAGTTAATAATGATGTTGATTACCGGCGGCGCTTCACTTCAAGCAAACTAAACGCGAACCGTGCCTAAAACTAACTGGTTTTCCAAAAAACTTCGATAAAAACACTGGACGCTTCCTATAAGCTGGATCTAGTCGTTTACTGGAAATGTTACTGAAATTTTTGCGAATTTTAATCATTCCCTCTCATTCAGGCCCCAATTGCAATGCGAGCACTAATTAAGCATAATTTTCCACGCATTGCTTCAAACAAAACTTTCCAAAGTCGCGCGTTCCCTCCAATACCTCCTTGACTCTTTGGAGCACTGTAATTGTTCGCACTTCAACACCAGCCTTTGGTGTGAGAGTTGCAATTAAATCGTGTTTAACATTGTACTGGAGTCAATTGTAAGTCCACTAGCGAGCTTCAAACACTATTCTTAATTTGAAGGGCGGAAGTAACACGAACAGGGAATAGACGAAGTCCCATTGAGTTTTATCGAAATTAATCCCTGGGTTTCCACCATCATCATCATCATTTTTCCACCATCACCAGTTGTTCTAAAATAACAGATAGTTAAAAAAAATTTCCTTAATTTAAAAAGCAATCACAGTTCGTCAACAGACTCATCATATCACACATTAAAATACATCACAATTGCAACACTTTAAAACATTCTAAAATTAATTAGGCCTAACAGGTGATTAGTCAGGACAATCAA